AGGAGGTCTGCATCTGTTTGCCTTGTTAAGTCAGACTCGGCCAGGCAGCAGCAGGGATCAGCACAAAGCCTGATCCCACCTTCCGCACACCGTCAGACTCGGGGCTCCACTTCGCCTGCCGGGCTTTCCTCGATGCGGACTTAACGTTATTCACAAAATATCTGAATATGCTTTATTATCTAATAACTCACTGCTTTATTTAAGCTGTTGGGTAATGTGAATTAGGTATTAACTGACAAGTGATCTTTAATAGGATTTAATTATGGCATAGAGAAGAATCTACATGGGACCCTAATTAAAATGAGATCTTTGTAGTCCTCCTTTTTTGCCCTCTCCTGGGGAAAAACAATGTTTTCTCACAATATGAAATGGCAGATTCTAATGGTTTTCTGTTATATTTAATGTGGAAGCTAGGCCAAATATGAAAGATTTGTGAAGTGATAATTGTAAGGAAACCACGTGACTAAATGGCTAATCAATTGCAATTATAGAAAATAGTTATGAATACATAATTAAAATGGCATCACGTATCTTTTGATTATTGAGGTACATGAATAAGCAGTATTTTTCAGATTTGTTCTGTTGAAATAATCTGGTTATTATTTAACAGGAAAGGAATAAAGGGAAGATTAAAAAATACAGGCATGCCATTTATACAGCTTTGCTAATTTAATACTCTCCAAGTCTGTTCCCTGCTGGTTGATGAGGGAAAGGACTGGACAAAGGCGGTTGGACACATGCCCACTAAGGCCTAAGTGATGTGGAAAGGTGTCTATCTGTCAAATCAGTCACACCTTGGAGCTAGAATAGGTGTGGCCACCGCAAGGTGCAAAGCCTGATTATTTAAACTTCTGAACAAAGGAAGTACTCTCTCTCTCACACAGGATTCTTTGTTGCCTCTCCTTCTTGCCTGTACTCCTGTGACTCCTGCTGCAGGGGACATGCGCCCTGCACTCAGCCATGTGGCTCAAGGCCACGTAGGACCCACACAGTGGACTGATGGATTGAATTTGGACTGAGGCTGAATTGGACCCGGATGCAACATGGAAAGAAAGCTCTGAGCATGGGCCCTCCTTTTGGCTCTGCTGGACTCCCAAATATAACCTTTTCAGGACTGGGTTAAGAGACACAGGACTTTAAAACACAAGGAATATAATTCCACACAAATAAAGCCTTTTATCACATCTCAGTCTTCCATGGGGGCTTCTGAGAATGCTTATTTCAGTGGTACCCAAGAACCACACTTCCACTCTAGTCTGGGAAATCGGGCCCATTAATTCGTCCAGCAGCATAACCATTAAGCAAAACTCACATTCCACCCTCCCCCAATCCCTAGTAGCACTAACTTACTTTCTGTTCCGGAGAATTTGTCGTTTCTAGATATTTTATATAAGTGGAATCATAGAATATTTGTCCTTTGTGTTTGGCTTACTTCAATTTAGAATAATGTTTTCCAGGTTCATCCAGATTGTAGCATAAATTAGAACTTTATTCTTTTTTGTGGCCAAATAATACAGTGTGGCAAAAGTAGATTTACTGTTGTTCATATGGGAAATAATGCAATAATTAATATCAAATAATATGAGAATAAACTCTGTTTTTCATACTCACAACTATAAACCTATTATTGCCCCAGCCTATATATTATATGTGTTCACCACATTTTGTTTATTCATTCAACTATTGATAACACTTATATTATTTCCACCCTTTAACGACTATAAATAATGCTGCTATGAATAATGGTGTGCAAGTATCTGTTTGAGCTATTGTTTTCAAAAATTTTTGGATATTTACCTACGAGTAAAATTGCTGGCATATGATAATTCTGTTTGCATTTTGAAGGAATTGCCAAACTGTTAAACTATTAATATTTCTACAGAAGTTACATCATTTTACATCTCCTGCCCCCCCCCCCCACTCCCACCCCCTGCCCTCAGCCATGCACAGGGAATGGGGGAGGTTTTAATTTCTCCACTTGCTTGCCAACACTTGGGTGTGAAGTAGCAACTTATTGTGGTTTTGGTTTGCATTTCCCAATTGTTAGGTATCTTTTCATGTGCTTTTTGGTCATTTATGTATCATCTTCAAAGAAATGTCTAAAAAATATATGCCCATTTAAAATTTTGTTGTCTTTCTGTTGATGAATTGTAGTTATAAATAAGTAGATATATAACTGATCTTTGTGTGTTGATTTCATATCCTGATATCAGATATATGATTTAAAAATATTCTCTTACATTTTGTGGGTTATAGGGTTAAGCCTCAGACTGACCTGCTGGCAAAGCCGGCAAACAAGTCGCAGCTTAGAGGGCACAGCCCTCTTAGCGTAATTAAGCTTGATCTTGTGACTGCTCCCTAGATCTTTCTTGGGTAGCTAATGGGCTGTGGGAGAGGCAGCAAGTACTGCCAAAACAAGTGAAACTTATAACAACATTGTAAATTACCTTGTTTACCTCTGACTATAAAATAAAGTATCAGCTTGCAGTCTGGATCTGTTCTGTGGCCTCAGCCAGGCATAGAAGATCCACCTAGACCCAGCTTAATCTCTTTGTCTGTCTTTTCTTCATCCTTCTCTGGCCCTCCCTCAGGCTTGCCGAACCCTTGGCTGTGCTGGTGTGGCACAGTGGGTGACAAGGATTGCTGGCTAACACTGAAGAATTAAACAGCCTATGAGAGATTCCACCCAGAGTCGCAGAGGGAGCATGGTTCTACTGACATCTTGATTTCAGACTTGTAGCTTTCAAAACTATGAGAAAATAAATTTCTGTTGTTTTAAGCTACCCAGTTTGTGTTACCTTTTACCATAGTTCTGAGAAATGAACAGATATTCCAACTTTGATTGATATCTTTTATTTTTTCTTGCCTAATTGTTCTGGCTTGAATTAACAGCAATCCTTTCAAACTCTTGCAACACACGTAAGATGTGGGAAGACTTCCTCATGCTATGAGGCCAGCATAATACTTATACCAAAGCCAGACAGACCCAGAGGGCTTCAGACAAGTACCCCCAGTAAATACTGATGCAAAAATTCTCAAAAAAAAATACTAGCAATCTGAATTTAGGAGCATATTAAAAGGATTATACACCATGACTAACTGAAATTGATGCTAGGAATGCAATAGTTAAACATATGAAAATCAATCAATGTAGTATACCACATTCATAGAAAGAAGAGAACAAAAACTCATAATCATCTCAGTTGATGCAGAAAAGGCATTTGAAAAAATTCAACAATACTTCTTGATCAAAATATTCAATAAACCAACATGAGGAAAAAAATTTTTACATGATAAAAGCTATATATGAAAAAGTCCAACTAACAATACTCAATGGTGAAAAGCTGAAAGCTTTTCCCTAAGGTCAGGAAGAAGACAAGAAGGCCTGCTTTTGCAATTTTTATTCAACATAGTACAGTTTCTATTTGCTGATGTTTCTACAGAGGAATAGGATAGCTCTGCCTACTCTGCCATTTTGTTGGTGTTACTTCCAAACTCTAGAACTTTTATACTGTCATCATACATAAAATAGTACTTAAATTCAGATATATGCAAATAATAGCACTGGAAAATAAAATTAACTATTAGCTAACAAATCACATAAAATAATTTAGATACCATGTCTTTAGTTCTAAATTAAAAGATGTTTTCATTTACTTAAAATTGCACATTAATCATTAATTATATGGAGTTTCTCTGAAATAAGTGTGTTTAGATTTTTCCATCAGACACTAGATATATAAAATAGGGGTGAGAGATTCATGATTTTTTACTAATCATTAATGAAACTTGAAGGATGGCTTTCATTTAGTGTCAAAACTCAATATTACTATTAGCCCTGTACTTGTGAGATAAAAATGGCCTATGTCCAAAAGTATTAAAGTTCTCATCTGATTACATTTCCAGTGTTCACATTTCTGGATTATTCTGTTTATTCAGACATAAAGGAATATACATATTAGAGGGGAATATTGTAGCTCTACTGCTAATTCCTTTGAGGAAAACATTTTCTAAGTATATTATTAACCTTTCTTTTTGTCTATTTTCTCTGCTCTGGGAAGTGGAGTGATTAGTAAATCTGGGAAGGCTCAGTCCTGCCTCTCTTTCTCTTGGGAATAAGCTGCCTGCAGGGAGAAAATCACCTTTTTGACTTTTCAGACTCTTCCTTCCCTTTAGAAAAAGGGCTGTCCTGGTTTAGTGTTGCCTACATCTAAATGTGTTCTCTAATTCTGGAGGCTTTGTGAGTAGGTTCATTTGGCTCTCATATTATACTATATTTTTCAACTTGTCTTTTATAAAGGTGTTTTTTATTTTTTATTACTACCTAAAGTTAAATCTCCTCTGTCAACATATATTTGACCCCCTTTACCCTTTACTACCACAATGTAACTACAGATGACATATTATAGAACTGTACACATGAAACCTATATAATTTATTATATATTAACCAATATTAACCAATGTCACTCCAATATATTTAATAAAAAATGAAGGTGATATCTTTGACCTTCACATTCTTTGTTTTTCAGTTTGTTTAGAACATAGCCAGGGAAGAGGGAAGTTTTATTGTTTCACTCACTCCTCTCTAAAGTTAATATCTTTGAGCCTATAGTAACAAACCTGAAAATCCAAACAAGTCTACCAAGAGTTTTCTTGACTCTCTTATCAAGCTCCTATGTTTTTCTCCATTCAAAATAATTGAGGCTACTTCTTTGCAATTTTGAAAAGTAGTTTTTTCTTTGAAGAACACCTTAGACTATTAGGTTATCATTTGGATCTTTCTAAACTTACTACTGAACCTGATGTTGCACACTGAGGAAGAAAGCTTGAATCCTTTTACTGGGAAAGGCTGACAAACTCTTCTATGTAAGAATATAGGTAGATCTTCAAAGTTCACTTGATGTGCGATATACTCTTGAAGAAATAAACTTTTAGACAATCTGTTCTAGGCAGGTAAATAACTCATTCTGCACACATGACATTTCTGAGTACACTTACCTCTGCTGTGTACTTTGCAGAATTCCCCACGATGACAATGACCTTTCCTTTGAAGCTTTGGAGCACAGAGGTGTGAGGGCCCTGGGTAAGTTCCCCTTCCGAGGTGAATGCAGTGCTGAATGGAATGTTGATGCTGCCTGAAATGTGACCCCGAATAAAACTGAGAAGGAAAGTTTAAGGAAAACACTTGTGTGCAGATTTGAGAGAGAGAGGGAGAGAGAGAGAGAGAGAGAGAGAGAGAGGTAACTGATTCCCAGAAGATAGTATCGTAAAAATCAAACACAGAGACCAGATTTGAAAATTCCCTGAGTAGACAAAACTGGTTTGTTTAGTCATACAAGTACACTTAATTTAGCTTATTTTCCAAGACAAGCGACACTAACTTGACCTGGTTCACTTCTTGCCTATGTCTCTGAAAATCATAAGTGAACTCAATTTGTTCCCCCAAATTGATAGGAAGTAACCCAAAATTAAACTATTCCAAATTCCCTTTCATTTAAGAAAATTTGAATACTGTGACCAATAGACAGTTATTGCCTCCACACTGTATAAGCTGCATTATGACAATAGACTCTGAACCTCAGTATTTGATGTTTTTGTCTGAGTGTTCTTGGTTTGAAAACTCTTTGGTGTGCACAATAAATTGCTACTAATTACTATTTTGATGATTCATTGGCTTTATTTATGAACTTTTGGCAGTTCTAAACATCTTCCATGCTTACATGAGTATTTTATCTAAATGATATAAGGTACCTCCAAGGGGAAATAAAAGTTAAATGTGAAAATGTAATGAAAAAGAGAAAGGAAGATGACTAGCCAAAGATGTAAAGAATTTCCTGATTAAATGAAGCATTGTGAAAGTGGATGCAGCAAATCAATGGCAATCGCATGGGCCACATAATAATCATGCCTTTAAGTTCATTACTACTACTATGATTACTCCTAAGCTCTGAGAGTAATATAGCCAAGCAGATATTCCCAGATATAATTTGATACTGCAAAAGCCTATCTACTTTGGGTAAGCGATTGCTAAACCGAACTCTATTTAGAATTGTTAAGGTCAACAGCACTGGTTAGAAACAGTTCTGTTGTTGGTTTACTTCTCAAGTAAATTTAGCTGACATTTCCACTCTTCACTTTTATTGTCTCTAAATGGACTGCTTTGGCAGGGTTCTGATGGTTTCATCATTGACTATAAATTTTATTTTTGGAATGAAAAGCATATATTTGCTTAAAATATTTAGAAATACCTTAATATTTTAAAGAAAAAATATATTCCCTCCTTAGTAAGTAAAAAGTACAATTAAAAAAGTACAACTAAAAAAATATTTATATAGAGTCTATAAAGATATTCTTAAATATTATTATCCATCTAATAACTATTCACATAAATAAAACAACTATAAAAACAGGTCTAAAGGAGGTATATATGATGCCTTGGTAGGATATGTCCATTTGGAGAGAACAGGGAAGGTTTTCACTGAGAAAGTAAGTGATGGCCAAATTAAAATTTGAAGAATTAATAAAAGTTATTTAGGTAAAGAAATTAAATGGAGGCAGAAGAAATTTGAGACTCCTATTCTCAAAAAAGATGGTGTAGACTGACCACATACTTTATATTTAAATATTTTAGTCAGATGCTTCTTCCTCATTTTTCCTTTAAAGTAGAACATTTGGCATTAATAAAGGACTATAAAAAGTTCTGAAAATGAAGAGAAAGATAGAATAAACATTAGTATCTCATTGTTTAGAGTCTTCTAGAAAGGAAAGAATTTATGACCATTGGCAGATCTTCCTTGGTTTTCATCAGTACTACTCTCTCAAACATTTACAATTATCCAATGTTCTCAACTTCAGGGTTTTTTTTTTACTTTTTTTTTTTTTATTAAATTATTATCTGTGTACATATTTTACTATTGCTCCCCCCCCATACATACCCACCCTCCCCAGAGTTGTGTGTCCATGGTTGTACTTATATGCATGTATACAAGTCCTTCGGTTGAACTTCAGTTTTCATGACCAGTAATGACTTTGTTCTCAACATGTCACTAGTCTGATAGTACTTTTATTTTCAGTAAGAACATACCTTAAAATGAAAATTTTTGATAACACAAAGAACCTAATGACTCAAATATCATTTGCAAATGTATATACATCTACCAAACTGAATCGGTTGCCATATATTTTATTTATCAAAAAGCCTTTAGCCCTTATCAACAATGAAAACTTTATATATATATAGTGTTTTTATAGTAGCAAAAGCAATACAAACCTATCTTGGTCAAATACTACAGCAGACATGTTTGATGCCTGTTCCCCTTTCTCTTGCTGAAAGGGCGTCAACTACTGACCCTGATGAAAGGGTGAGCCTCAGCTCTCATGTTTGTATCAGATGATCCTGCCACAATCATGACTGACAGCGTAGTAGGGAGAGAAAGGGTGAAGGGTTATCTGATGCAGGCTGAGCCAATCAAGTTCTCTTCTTTGAAAATCAGAAATAAAGATAAAATACAATGATTAGACTATACTAGGCTCTACAAACTAATGCCACATTTGAATGTCTAGACAACTTGTTCAGCAACATTTTAGAAAATTGGTGACTATGGAATAACAGTAGCTATAAAAACATCTAGCTATTATAGCAGTCATTTGGTCAGGTGTTTTTTAATAGAGCTGTTTACTACTCTGATAGACTTTGTGATCTGCAAACATTTTTCTTCTGGTAATTGGAGACTTTATCCTATTGCAGTAAGCTGTTTATATATATATATTTTTAGAGGCCTAGTGCATGAATTTGTGCATCGGTAGGGTCTGGCCAGCCTGGGCAGGGGTCGGTGCCATGGGCGGTTGGCCGGCCTGCCTGCTGGTTGTACTCCTGGGTGAGGGGACAATTTGCATATTAGCCTTTTGTTATATAGGATATACACTGAGTGGTCAGATTACTATGTGTTCAGAGATCATAATAATCTGGCCACTCAGTGTATCTCTATCCAGAGCATACTAGCATTTTTAACTTGTTTGTTGCTATGTTAACTAATTACAATTAGTTAAATAGAGCCAGCCCAAAGTAAAGGTTACGCCTTTAGAATATCAATAGCTACAAGGCATATGGAATTAAACTCATGCCTTTCTCATATATAATGTAATTAAATAGCATTAATTGATGTAAAAATTACATCTTTAGATATCATCATTTTTCCTTTCTAAATCTATTGCTGCTTTCTTTGAATGACATCACCATCTCCCATATCAGCCTAAAACTTCATTTTTGACATCTCACCAGTGGCAATATCTAACATCCTGTTGCATTAATAAATCCCTCCTCTCGCCTCTCTATTCCCATTACCACTTACTGGCCTATTTCAGACACTCATTTATCTTGAACTTAGACTACTGCATCAGATTTGTTTTTTCCCAACTCCCATTTTGCCACTTGGAAATCCATTTTATTGGATTAATTATTTTAGTAATAGTCTTTAAAATGAAAACAAAGCATATGCTATAATGCTATGTTTTTTTGATAATTTTATTAAAAACTATAACTAAAGTTTCAACCAAAAGAACCATAAGCTAAAGAATTGAAAGTATTTTAATCCTTTGAAGTAACGAATAGACCGGGGTCCCTGACCAGTCAAATTGAAATTAATGCTTGTTTTGGGAGTCAGTGTGCTCCTTTACTCTGCTAAAGAACTTCAGTATCCATGAAACCTAAACAATCAGATACATGAGTATTTATACTATCACCATATTCAGGGAACTCACAGTTTAGGGAAAATAGAAAGTAGTAACTTTTCAAAAAGGGGTGGGGATATATAATTTGAATTAGTGGCCTCTCAAATTATATTTTCAGTAATAAAAGACTCTATGAATTGCTTCAGAAGTTCTGTAAATGTATAGTCTGAATTCATTTTAAAATTGATTAAAAATATTCACATGAAAATTTACATGACAATTTTAGAATATGAGAAAAACCACCAACCTGCTAACACTCACTTACATATTAGCCTCATTTATAGTTAGGAAATGCTATAAATGTTAATTTATAAAGAATCCTATATAATAAAAAGCCCAATATGCTAAGTGTCCAGTCGTCCGTTCAAATAATCAAAGTGCAATATGCTAATGATATGCTAAGATCATTCAACAGCCTGCTATGACATACATTGACCACCAGGGGCAGATGCTCCAATTGGTAGGTAGGTTAGCTTGTTGCTGGGGTCTGGCTGATCATCGGGACTGAACTAGATGGGCCAGATATGCCCTGCGGTCCTTCCCAGGTTGGCCAACCTCCTGCATCCCTCCCTATCCTTGATCATGCACCGGTGGGGCCCCTCAGCTTGGCCTGTGCCCTTTGCAATCCAGGACCCCTTGGGGAATGTTGGAGAGCCGGTTTCGGCCTGATCCCACAGACTAGGCCGAAGGACCCCACTGATACACGAATTTGTACACTGGACTTCTAGTATTAATTATAAAAGTCTTCATTTATATTTTATATATTGAGTTTCAAAAAAAACTTTATTTGAAAAGAGAGTTGCTATGTTCAAAAACAAATTTGAATATCTACTAGATGAAAAAATAAGGAGAAAGATTGAACTGTTATTATTTTATACCTGTTTATACTTTAATGCCAAGCAAAATCATCAGAAATTATAGTACATTTAATGTCAGTGAAAAATACTTTAACATGTTCTCTATAAGTCAATATTTTGAAAATTATAATAAATTTAATGATGAGGTCTGGCAAACTCTCTCTAGCCAATGAGTTAAGACCAGGTAAATACTTCTCATCTTTGCTAAAATTTTAGCCACAGCAAGAAGAATTCAAATCCCCCAAGAACAATACACACCAGAGAAACACAAAAACTAACAAAATACCCCAACATTCTGGTTTTGTTTGGAAAGCTTTTTTGGGCCTCTGGTATGTGATATTACCTTATGAAAGATTATGCAAGTTTACTCTGGCATCCGGTTTGAGTTACTTAGCTACTGGAATTCAGAGGAATCCCAGATACGTTCATTGTTTTTACCACAAGCCCTGTAAATGGAAGGGATGCGATAATGAATAAGGCAGGACCACCCCCTAAAACCGCATGCACAAAGGATACTCTTCGCTATTCCGGATGTCAACCACCAGGAGCTTCGGCTTACTGGGCTTGGTCTTCTTGGCGGGTGTTTTGAAGTGGCCCGTCACTGCGAGCTCACACAAGTCAATCAGGTCCTCTGCTGAAATCCGGGGAGAAACTTCTGACTTTAGGTCATTTAATGGGATGGGTTCTCTTGACTGAAAGAAACATACAGATCACACACATATTGAGAATATTAAAGAGACAAACTGTAGCCAGTAAAAATATTTTCAGGCTCTTGATATCAACCACTACTGGTATAACATACGGGAGAACAGGAAACGATCTCCCAGCCTGCAGTGTAACTGTGCTCTTACTGAGGTTTACATGTTCATTAGTCACAGATGTAGGAAAACATTAATTACAGTTTTGACTACTACCAAGCTCTTGGTTCAAATGTGATAGAAAAAGGTGGGGAAGACTTTTCCTCATGAGAGAACTGTGTATCTTTAAAAGCAGTTATTTTATTTTATTTTATTATTTATTTTTGGTTCTAGCTGGTTTGGCTCAGTGGCTACAGTGTCAGCTCATGGACTGCGTTTAATTCTGGTAAAGAGCATATATCCTGATTGCAGGCTCAATCCCTGAGCCCCGGTTGGGACATGTGTAAGAGGCAACCAATTGATGTGTCTCACATTAATGTTTTTTGGTCTTTCCCCTTTCCTTCCACTCTCTCTAAAAGTCAATGAAAAAATATCCTCAGGTGAGGATTAACAACAAAAAAAATAAACAAAAGAATCTTAAAAAGTGATTTGAGCAATTTATTGATGTAGAAACAAAATTCTGGAGGTAGGTTGGGCTTTAGGAACAGGCCAACCAGGGCTCTGAGCCCATTTCACAGCATGCTCAGATTTGCCCTTCTCCATGTTGTTGTAATCTTTAGACTGGATTCTTTCATACTTAAATAAATAAATAAATATTTCATTTTGAAAGTATTACAAATATCCCTCCTTCATTCCACCCCCACCCCCACCCCAGGCCTTCACCACACTATTGTCAGTGTCCATGCTGTTGCAAAGGGTAAGAGATCCTTCTTTTTTCAGCTTCATAGTATTCCACTCATGCTTTTTTATTCCCTCATGTACCGATGGACATCTGGGCTGTTTCCAGATCTTAGTTACTGTAAATTGTGCTGTTATAAACTTAAGGGTGTTATAAACACTGGTTGGTGTTTTGAGTTTCTTAGGAAAAGCAGCTCTTTTAGCACATTCATTTTAAGTATAAATGACTGTTGTTATGAATTGCATTAATTACAGCTCTGGTAATATGAGAAATTGCATTGTAACTCAATATACTAATTAAAGAAACTAGTTCTAATATATGCATTGGACATTGATAATCTAATTCATGTTACATATAAATGGTTGAGTGGAAATTAGATTATCAGAGATGAATGATGTTTTCTTGGATAGTAAAACCAAATTGACAATTGTGGACAAAAAAGGTACCACACATCTGGTATTGTGATTCCTCCAACTTTGTTCTTTCTCACATTGCTATGGTTATTTGGGGTCTTTTTTTGGTTCTATCTCAATTTTTGCAATATGTGTTCTAAATCTGTGAAATATGCCATTGGTATTTTAATAGGAATTAAATTGAATGTTTAGATTTGGGTAGTATAGACATTTTAATGATATCAATTCTTTTAATCCATGAACATGGTATATTCTTTCTTTCTTTCTCTTCCTTTCTCTTTCTTTCTTTCTTTCTTTCTTTCTTTCTTTCTTTCTTTCTTTCTTTCTTTCTTTCTTTCTTTCTTTCTTTCTTTCTTCCATTCCTCCCTCCCTCCCTCCCTCCCTCCCTCCCTCCCTCCCTTCCTTCCTCTCTCTCTCTCTCTCTTTCTTCTTTCCCTCCTTTCCTTCTTCCCTTCTTCCCTCCCTCCCTCCCTTCCTTCCTCTCTCTCTCTCTCTCTTTCTTCTTTCCCTCCTTTCCTTCTTCCCTCCCTCCCTCCCTCCCTCCCTCCCTCCCTCCCTCCCTCCCTCCCTCCCTCCCTCCCTCCCTCCTTCCCTTCCTTCCTTCCTTCCTTCCTTCCTTCCTTCCTTCCTTCCTTCCTTCCTTCCTTCCTTCCTTCCTTCGCTTTTTGTATATTCCTCTGAGATATCACCTCACACCTGTCAGAATTGCTATCATCAACAAATCAACCATCAACAAGTTCTGGCGACAATTTAGAGAAAAAGAAACCCTTGTGCACTGCTGGTAGGAATACAGACCGGTGCAGCCACTGTGGAGAACAGTATGGAGTTTCCTCAAAAAACTAAAAATGGAACTCCCATTTGACCCAGTGATCTCACTTTTAGGAATATATCCTAAGAAACTAGAAATACCAATTAAAAAGAATATATGCACCCCTATGTTCATAGCAGCACAATTTACAATAGCTAAGATCTGGAAACAGCCTAAGTGCCCATCAGCAGATGAGTGGATTAAAAAAACTATGGTACATCTATACAACGAAATATGTGGTAAAAAGAAGGAATTCTTACCATTTGCAACAGCATGGAGGAAACTGAAGAGCATTATGCTAAGCGAAATAAGTCAGAGAAAGATAAATATTACATGATCTCACTCATTTATGAAATATAATGAATAACATAAACTGATGAACAAAAACAGGTCCAGAGACAAAGAAGCATTGATTAGACCATCAACCTCATAGGGAAGGTAGGGGAGGGTGGGGGTAAAGAGGAGAGATCAACCAAAGGACTTGTATGCATGCATATAAGCATAATCAATGGACAGACACCAGGAGGGTGAGGGCATGAGAGGGGGAATGGAGGGGGGTAATGGGGGGATAAGGGCACATATGTAATACCTTAATCAATAAAGAAAAAAAAGCAGACAAAAAAATTAAAAAGGAACTAATGATATCAATAATAATAATAAAAACAACAACAACAACAATAATAATAGAAAAGGAAGGAATCCCTAGTATACTGCTGGTGGGAAGGCAGATTGGTGCAGCCACTATGGAATTGAGAGTGAAATTTACTTAAAAAAAAAAAAATGGAACAACCGTTTGGTCCAGCAATCCTACTTCTAGGAATATATCCTAAGAAGCCCAAAACATGAGTCAGAAATAATATATACATCCCTATGTTCATAGCAGCATTATTTACAATATCTAAAATCTGGAGTGCCCATCAGTAGATGAGTACATAAAAAAGGTGTGGTATATTAACACAATGGAATACTATGTAGCTTTAAAAAAGGATAATTTCTTATCCTTTGCAACAGCATGGATGGACCTGGAGAGTATTATGTTGAGTGAAATAAGCCAGTCAGAAAAAGACAAATATCACATGATCTCACTTGTAAGTGGAATCTAATGAACATAATAAACTATGAACAAAAAGGGATCAGAGACATGGAGGCATGGAACAGACTGACATATCTCAGGGAGGGGAAGGGTGGATAATAGAGGGAATGGGAAGAGACTAACCTAAGAACTCATATACATAGAAGCATAACCAATGGACACAGACAACAGTGTAGTGAAGACCGGGGGTTGGGAAGGGGCTGGAAGGAGAGGAAAAAAGGGGAAAACTTGGAGGACATCTGTTATAATGTCAACGATAAAATAAAATCAAATAAAAAATGTGGATTTTTATCAAGATCTAGATTAAGTGGAAATTGTGAGCTTTGTTCTATTCATTATCCTCTTTTTTTCTTTTAGTTTTTCTCTTTTCACTACTTTTCCTTGGCTTACAAAATATCCAATATTTTCCATCCACAGTGGAAAATAAATTAAAATACTATAGAAAATAACAAAATTACTCTCCAAGAGGTGGGTTTCCCTCTGCTACTAATCCTCTACCTTCTCATCTTTACTTTGGTCTTCCCATCCACTCCTGAATCACTGCAGCTTGGTTTGTGTCATGATACAGAATAAGGAGTGGACCACTGATAGAGGAAAGGAAGAAAGACCCAGGAAAGCACTAAAAGGAAACAGACAGAAGATAAAGGGTAGGGTTGAGTAAATGATGGTTCTTATATGCTGAATATGGATGATTGGGGGAAAAGGAGATAGTAACAGTGACAGACAGTAGATAAGGGGAAGACAAGTTCATATTTAGATATGTGAAATTGAGATTGCATAAGGTCTACCAAGTTGAAGGGTTGAGAATACATTTAGAGACAGAAACTGGTGTTTGGGGGAAATCATGGCAGGAGGATCATATTTCTGGAATTATAAGCATAGGAATCGAAGTTTAAGTCATGAGAAAGAGTAAACAATTATAAGAAAAATGAAAAAAAAAGGCAGAAAGAAATCCTAATTTAGCAGGTACATCTATACAGTCTGCCAAGAAAAGTCTTAAATTATGCAAACTATTAACAGGAGTGGGAAACACATAAAGTTGAGATTTTTAAATGAAATATCTATCAATTTTTATTTTTCCACAAGTCTATAATACATAGACTCTTCTTTCTTAGTGCTAGATACTTCAAGCTCACGTATGAGAGACAGACTTGTGAATGGCACAGACATTAACTATCATCTCAAAGGAATTTTAACAGTGAAAAACACAGAAACTATCAATCTACAAGGATCTATTCATCCATATACTTAAAACAATAAATTGTTTCAGTGGCATGTTGGTGTTTTTATTTCTCCCTCTTGGTTTTGGAGAAAATAGGGGGAGCCTGATACTTCTATTATAGAAATGTAGCATCTGAAATGGAGTTTGAAATAAAACCGTCATGCTCTGGAAGCTGCATAATGTAGTTCTCACACTAGAGAGATATTTCTCTCTCTCAAATAAAAGAGATCATGTACATGAATATGAATCCCAAAGAACAGTGGAAATAAAAGTTTTTTTCAGTGATAAAGAATTTTATGTTAAAATTTTCACAGATGTAAAAAATTACGTATAAGCTAAATTTCTGTAATGAGAGTAATTTTCCCTTTGGTATATAATAACATTTTAGAGATATTTCATCTCTCTAGCTCTCAATTATCTCATGTATAAAAGGAAGGGACAGGGGTAGGTATCTTATATATACTTTAGCTACAGAATTCTATGGCTTTATTTCTGATTGATTTTTCAACTAGCAACAGGTGCAAAAATTCCTGCTTACCTCCTGGGACAAAAGTTAGAAACCTGTACCTAATACTTAACATCACCAGAGGAGTTTCTATTAAAGGGATTCAGGAACAATT